CTACCTAAGATCAACCTCATCCAAAAATTTTATCTTGCATCATTCCTTCAACTTACCAATTCTTTCACATGTTTTAGCCCCTTTTTTAGCACTTTCAAAAAACGATTTCAACAGCATTTTTCTTTATTTTACTGGCCCCATTCCAAAGATTATTTTGGTTCTTTTCATCATATTTGATTTCCCTTTGACTTGAAGAGAAGTTGTTCAGAAATTGAAGTTATCGGATTTTTAATAAGTATACCGGTATTACACATAACTCACCGATTTTCCTTCATGCATACCGGATTTACATTGCTCATACCGTACAAGCAAGGGTCTTACCGGATTCGTAATGGTTTTATTGGTTTTGGAAGAAAAATAGGGTACTTATTGGATTTGCACTTAACGCACCGTAATTGCAATACTCTCACCGTATTTGCATAATACTCACCGAATTTGCCTAAAAACTCTCTTTTTTCTCTCCGTTTTTCAGCTTGTTTTCAACCATTTTTCCAGCTGCTTTCTTCCACCTTTTTTTATGAAAGGATTAGTTTTTCAGTTTTAATCTTCAAAGATTAGTTTTTCAGCTCTAAATCATTGCAAAAACACCCATATTCAACCCATTTCATCATCATTTTTCACCAGATTTACTATTTTTTTTTATCAGACAGCTTCATCTTCTTTTTCAGCATAACAACAGCTTCCTTTTTTTTAACATCACAAGTATGAAGAATGAAGAATAGAGAAGGAAGACGCTTTGAAACTTAGCATACCAGCTTTGTAATTTCTTATCAGATTTCACACTTTTGTTTACCAGTTTTGTACTTTGCCTTTCAACTGGATTCACAACTTTTTTTTCTAGCTTTTTACTGGATTTTTGCTCTTGTTTCCTTTTGCTCTTCTTCACTTCTTTTCTTCTTTTTCGAGCTTCAGATTTTCATCTTATCTGACAACTTTCTCTTCTTCATTTTCAGCATATTGGTCCCTTCTAAGATCCTTTGGAAGCTCTAATACCATGTTGGGATTTCATTGATCTAAAGCTCTTTTTAGAGAGCTCTTATCATTTTGTATGGAGCAAAGTGGATACCGGCTATACACTTACCGATTATTTAAATAAACATATATACTCTACTGTTCTTTCTGAACAGACCAGAGGAGAAGGAGAATTCTTTGGGAACTACATCTTCCTTAAACGTTTTTCTTCTATATTTCCTTCATAGATTGTTTATACAACTTGGCTCTATTTATAGCCTACCTTTGATAGATATTTACTAGATA